CTGAAATCTCCCCATAATATGTACAAGTGTGGATGCTTTAATTTTTTTTTTTTTGTTTTTTTTTTTTATGCGCATAAGAGGTTAACTTCAATCCAATACTAAATTGGTAGAGCTCCCATCCACTAGAAAGAAAATTCAAGTGAAACTGTTTGCTTCATCCACTAAATCACTGTCTTGAGATTATATGTTTTTATTTAATTCTAGGGATGAAAACTTTTTTTAAAATGCAAGATTCTCAAAAATTCTAGCTAGTTCATTTTCTTTATACATTGATCCCTACAACTCTAGCTTATATCTCAATATTTTTAAATAATATAAAACCCTTGGAAATATCATGAACATTCGAATAATAATCAAATGCCCCCCAGGAGAATTTTAGAATAATATATATAAAGTGGTCAAAGATACTAAATTATATTATATCCATCACTAAGCAACCATCACTACATAGGAGTACCTCAGCTATTTCGACCAGTGGAAATGCTTGGCGCTTAATTCTCATCAACAAAAACAAATCTCATATGAGTTAATAACGTACACCATTATATTTTTTTTTTTGAAAGTGTACACCATTATATTTAATTTGTTGATGTTTAATATAAGAATCTTAGTGGATAAAGGAATCGGTAGAGGTAGAGATTTTAAATATTTTATGCAATATTATGTGAGAAGAAGAGGTTGGTGTCTTGTAATCTCATATTATGACTAAATGAATAACTACTTGTCTTTTTGGACACCATTCTTTTGTAATCCCAAAAAAAAAAAAAAAATTAAAAAAAAAATTAAAAAAAAAAAAATAAACCGAAGAAGAAAGACTTAGTGGATTTTTATGGATATTAGGCTAGGTGTTTCTCGGCTAGATGGTTTCTTTCCTCTCGATTCAAAATTTTATTATTATTTTTTTTAAAACTTTAATCGTCAAGTAATTAGATGACACAATTTTATGTGGATTTTGTCTCACCCTTCTGCTAATTATACAAGTGGTATTCTCTTTCTAATCTAATTAATTAAGAAATTAAAGTGGATACATTATATATTTGTATTAAGTTAAACTTTATTGCTAAAATGACCTTCAATGAGAGGATAAGCATCATCATATCCTTGAACACAATATTCCTTTGGATCATATGTCGCTCAATTGTACGGACTAGTGTATAAACAATACATAAGCCAGAGCCAAAAAGAGATTGATGCCATCTTTTTTATTTTTTTATTTTATTAATACACTTGTAAAGTTAGAAATTAAACATGTGACATTTTATTTTACATTAAAAAGTTATGTCATTAAACTACAACATTTTTTTAGCAATGCTATTCACAACACGTTTGGTTCACGAAATGAATTTTGAAGGAATAAAAATATTATTCCATAAGGAATGAAATAGATAAGGAATATAACATGAATGAAAACATGCTGTTACTGTTTATTAATTTATTTGGTTTAGTATTTGTATGTGAAAGAAATTATAAATTACAAATAAAGTTACTGCAACACTGGATTATACAATAAAAAGTGGAACTCTTGTATGTATCAATTCCATAACTTCATCGAAATTAATATGTTATTTTACATGTTATATTTACTATTTAATAGTCAAATAAACTTTTCTTTATTTATTTAGCAATTTACCTCTCATGTGAAGTAGTTATGCTGTGCATCCGTATGCATCATGCATGGTGCATACGGATGCAAAAACGACGTCGTTTTATTAAAAACGCGCGTCTTCCCTTTAAAAAAAAATTCAGGTTCGATTCTCAGCAACAACATTATGTTGTTCATTCATTATGGAATTTTAGTTCATAGATTATGGAATTATAGTTCATCGATTCTGGAATTGTAGTTCATCGATTCTGGAATTGTAGTTCATCGATTCTGAAATTGTAGTTCATAGATTCTGGAATTTTAGTTCATTCATTTTGGAATTTTTAGTTCATAGATTAGATTCTGGAATTTTAGTTCATAGATTATGGAATTATAGTTCATCGATTATGGAATTATAGTTCATCGATTCTGGAATTTTAGTTCATATGTTGTTGCTGGGAATCGAACCTGAATTTTTTTTTTTTTAAGAGGAAACGCGCGTTTTTAACAAAACGACGTCGTTTTTGCATCCGTATGTACCATGCATGGTGCATACGGATGCACAGCATAATTTGCCGGATTTGTGTGCTAGGTTTTAGGATTAATTGTAGATGAAAAAGCCCGTGTATCTTGAAATCAATTTAACACTAAGGATTCTACTTGATTTTATATTACGAGACAATTTCGCTGTTTAATTAAATCAATTTAATCAACGTATAAATAACGAAATTGAAAGCGTAAAATAAAGTAAAGACACAGTAGAATTGTTACGCAGTTCGGAGCTCCTACGCAGTTCGGAGCTCCTTCTCCTACGTCTGCGGGGCAACCCACGTCTGCCCAATCCACTAGATGTTCACCACAGAGTATTACAAGAGGTAACTACAAACGGCTCACAGCCTTTACCACTACAACTCTTCTAAAACACCTATTCAGGACTGAACCGTGCATGTCATAACCATCTTTGGTGTATCGCTTCAGCTGTCACAGGTACTGACTTGAAGTACAGAATTAAATCACAAATATAATATAATCAATATTAAAGCAGTAATATAGAAAGCTTGCGTATGTGATCAGAATATCAGAATTGGCAACTTCCTCTTTCGTTTTCCCTTCCTTATATACTGTACGCAATTCCCATTCCACCAAGCCTTGATTGTAGCTTCATATATGGCTTGAATTCTTCTCAACCACTCATTCTTTAATTTGAGATCTTCAGACTTGCTTCTTTGTCCAACTCATTAGAAATAAAACTCCACCACACATTTTAGCTTGGTCCAATAATTAAATTACAACTCATACTAATTAACATTACATATTAATAAAATAAACTAATAAATTAGTCAATCTAATGTGTACACTTACAGTAGATTTTTTTTTTATTTCTTAAATAGCTAGGTCAAAAATAAATATTGAACCCTCTAAAAATTAAGGTCATGTGCTGTTGTCCATCTTACACGTCCTAAAATCCGGCCATGCCCTCCCTCCTAGAGGATAAGTTTGGTGTACCTCAAGCTCAAAGATTCTAAATAATCTGATCTGTAGGGTGTCTTGTTTGGGGTTCCGATTCCTCTTTGTTAATTCATTTTTTTAAAAAGATTTTGAATTTGGATCTTAGAATTGTGTGTAGTATGAAGAAATAAAAAGGGGCCGGGAGAGGGAAATGAGATATGAACTTTAGGGAAATTAAAAGAGAAGAAAGAAACCGAAACCTAGGGCTTGGGATGGTTTTGCTTAGCTTTCTACCACGGTTTCCAAAAAAGTTAGCAATAGCTTATGGACACCTCCCTCTCTTGATATGGATGTGTGCAATGAAGCTTAACTTCTACATATAAACCATCCATGAATTGGAACATATAATATACATATATGACAAAAATTTGTGGGAAACCATATCTTATAAATCTTTATCCGTAAGACGGATCGAGTTGTAAACAATTGATTGTGTAGGTATATTACAATTTCAAGTATAAATATTAAAATATTTATCATTAGTGACAATCATTTTTATCTTAAATAGTATTACAATTTCATATATAAATATTACAATATCTATTATAAGAAATAATTTATTTATTTCGATCAAATTGGTATATATTATATTTTCTGTAATTAATAGATATTATGATTTAATTTCTATGATAACTAACAAATAACTATCTTAAATTCGACGACTTATTTAATCCTAAGATGGTCAAATACAAATGTGACAGTATATATATATATATATATATATATATATATATATATATATATATATATATATATATATATATATATATATATATATATATATATATATATATATATATATATATATATAAAAGAGAGAGATCAAAGATGGAGTTTAATCTCAGCCCTTGATCAAATCAAAATCAACAGCTCAGATTAAACACAAATTAAAAAAAAAACACTATGACAATTTGATCTTTTTGCATCTAGGTCAAATTTAAGGTGTGTGGTTTTTGTGCTTAAGGTGTATGATTTCTGTGTTGGTGCTTAAGGAGCGTTAGTTGTTGAAACTTAAAGTGCGTAGGTCTAAAGATTTAGGTGTGTGGTTTTCTTTCTTAAGATGCTTGGTCTGTCCCTTAAGGTACGTCAGTTGTTGAAACTTAAGTTGCGTCGGTGTAAAGCTTTAAGTGAGTTGTTTTCCTTCTTAAAATGCGTTGTTTTCCTTCTTAAGCTGCATTGTTTTCATTCTTAAGGTGTATTGTTTTCCTTCAATTCTTAAGCTTCGTTGTATTCTTTCTTAAGGTGCATCGGTCTAAAGCTTTAGATGCGTGATTTTCCTTCTTAAGGTGCGATGTTTTCATGTGCTTTGTTTTCCTTCCTAAGGTGCACTATTTGTTACTGACGCCTTTTTTTTTTTTTTTTTTTTTTTTTTTTTTTTTTTTTTTTAAATTCATTGATTTGAGCTGTTGATATGATATAGATTTGATCAACGACTCAGATTTAATCCCGACCCTCTTTCACTCGGGAGTATTTCCGCACTTGAACCAAACCCTATATATATATATATATATATATATATATATATATATATATATATATATATATATATATTACGTAAGAAGAGGATGAGAGGATCCCACCATGATAGATGCTGCCCTCCCTCTACATACATCGATCTTTCTTTGTTTCTCTCTCTGGCCATGCAAATATTGAGGAGTCACAACTCACCTTTTTCCTACACCACTAACATGGCAGGCAGTGCAGTCCAATGGCATCCCACACAAAGCTTCAACGTGAAGGACTACTTTCGCCCCCACTCATCAAAAGCAAGAAAAAACCCTAGCTAATTTTATTTTATACTTTATAATAAAACAAAAAGAAAGATATATAACAAAACATTTTTGAATAATAATATAAACATAAAGTTATGTGCATAGCATTTCATTTGATTCAATTCCTCTCCCCCCCACCCCCTTAGCTTTCCTGCCTGCATCTTCTTTATTTCTTTCTTTCTTTCTTTCTCCTTTAGCTTCTTTCTGTTTGCTTAGCAGGCTAGCTGCCTCTCTGCTACCTTAGTATTCTCTCTCTCTCTCTCTTTGCTGGATTATATTCTTCGCCAAATATTTCCAAAAAACCAGTCGCCCTTTATTAAAGCTACTACTAAAGATTAAAGATAGAGATCATCAAAGAAAGGAAAAAAAAAATCGAATTTAACCATGGTTTTCTCTTCTTTTCCTGTCTATTTAGATCATTCCAATTTGCACCAGGTGAGGTTCTTAATCTTTAATTCCAAGATACATCTTCTTCCTCCCAAAAGCGGGTTTTTTAAAAGAGATAATATTCATATTCCCAGCTTAGCTCGCTTTCTATATATGCAGTCTTTTTTGCTGAATATACTTATATAATAATAATAATAATAATATATACTCGCTAGCTACACTAGGGCTTGCATTAATTTCTTCTTTTTTTTTTTTTTAGTTACAGCAGGCTGCTGCAGGTTACCATCAACAAACTGGCCTCGAGAATCATCAGATTTCGACGCTGCCGGCGCCGGCGCCGGTGGGTGCCGGTCAGAGTTCGATCCGGCCTGGGTCGATGGTGGATCGAGCCCGGATAGCCAGGATGCCTCAGCCGGAAAACGGTCTAAAGTGTCCCAGGTGTGATTCCACCAGCACCAAGTTCTGTTACTACAATAACTACAGCCTTTCGCAGCCTCGCCACTTCTGCAAGACGTGCCGGCGTTACTGGACTAGAGGGGGCGCTATGAGAAACGTTCCGGTGGGTGGAGGCTGCCGGAGGAACAAGAGGAGTAAGAACAACGGTTCCAAGGGAGCCGCGGCGGCTGTCTCCGAGAAACAAAGCGGCGGTGGGAATACTAATACTAATACTAATACTTCCACCCATATGAATATTTCATGCCCCCCTACTAGCTGCGGAAGCGCGGAAATTTCCGGCAGCTTTTCACAGCAGCTGCCACTCATGGCCGCGTTTCAAGCCGGGTTAAACCATTTCGGCGGCGGCTTCCAACCTCCACCACAACTGGTGGGTAACGAAAACGGAGGGTTTGGTGAAATGAGCTTCTTATCAACCGGAGGAGCCGAGCCTTGGAGATTGCCGGCGTCTTTAACCGCCTTTGACACTACGCCACCCACAAATCTATTCCCTAATTTCCAAAACGAAGCAGCAATTGAAGCCGCCTCATCTTCCCGCGCAACCTCCGAGTTTCCTCATCAGCTCACATCATCGGTAAAAATGGAAGACACCCACGGGCTGAACAGCAATTCAACAAAGCAGTTTCTGGGAAACAACCAATTCTGGGGTGGCGGCGCCGACACTTGGACTGGAAGGTTTTCCGGCCACCTCAACTCCTCTTCCACTTCGTCTTCCACCACCCATCTTCTATGATTGTAGTATTTCATTACCCATTCTGCAACCTCCAAACCCTAGCCACTACTGTTCTTTTTTTGTGTGTAACTCAGATCAGAATTTCCACCGTCAGACACAGTTGCTAGTTATCGTCCTTTAATTGAAGGTGTGATCCATCAAAGGCTTTCTTCCACATCTATCAGCTCAACTCAACTTGCAGTACGTAGTCTTGATGCATGTGTATTAATTATTTTGTTTTGAATTCCCAACTTTTCTTGATGGTTTGCATCTAGGTTTTCACCTAGTATTCTATATTTGTGGGTTTCTATGGTGTATGTGTGATGTTTGCGTGTATTCCGACATTGATATTTGGTAATAATTACTCTTTTCTTAGCTAGCCCTAGTTGACCGACCACCTTAATTTTCTCATCTTAGTTCTTAAATATCTTATATATAATTGTTACAACCGCAATGAATTTCAGATTATCAGAATGCATCATAAGTATCATTGGTTGTGTTCTTCGATCCATCACTGGTCAAAAAGAATGAGAGATCGCTTGTTTTCGTCATCTCTCTTCCAGTCTTATACTTCTATTCCATCTACTACTTCCAACAGAAAACCTAGCTATATTTTTTGAGTGACGAGAGAAATCTGTAATCAAAGGTGTACAGGGGATAAATTCCGGCTGGAAATTATATTTTAGGTAGCATGCATGGTGAGTACCTTGTTTAATGGTGATTTATATAATATAGTTACTTCCCCCGCAAGTTAGGTTACATATGCTGTTATCACAACACAATTGAGTTATAAATGGTTAATCATTTCATTTGTTAATTGCAAATGAATTTTTAAGTGGTATTTTATATAATATGGTTTTGATTTTCATATATGTCAGAGAGATTTGAGACATGATGTACATATATAACAGATAAAAGTAAGAGATAAGTTAGTTATCTATCTTTAATTCGAGTAGCCTGCATAATCTCAGTAAGCTAGCTAAGATAAGATTTTAGGTTAATTGATCAACTATTGGAATGTGTGACTTTTAACAACCTTCCGTTATAATTAAAAGTGACATTTTAAAGATTTGTGAACCAAATCAAGTTAATTTTAAACTTGAGAAAAAAAAATACAATAACTGTGGGGGTTGTCATCCGCTTCATCGTCACTAGTATGGTAAAATGGATTTTTGTTTTTGGTGACGATGAAAACTCGCAATCATGTATGATCTAAGAGTGTGTCTTAGGTAAACCATACTCTTTTGTAATAGGACACAGACGACATAGGAGAAGTAAACTGCCATATAAAGACTATGCAATATATATGCTTAACCAAAAGGGTGTTGTCATGAATCGAACTCGTGATCTTTATGTATGATTGTAAAATGTTCATTTAATGTTTATATTATATGTTTGGTTAAGTAATAAATTAAGGACAGTCGAAGATGATTTTTCTTAATTAAATGTTTTGGTCAATGGTAGACTTGTTCATGTGTGGTTGATATAATCGATCCCAAAATGTTAAAAAGATCTTAAAATAACACCTAAATGATTTTTTTCACTCTGCAATATTATTTTTAAGTTGAAGAAAAATCTTCTCTAAATTAAAGGCCAGAATTGAAATCTCATCTTCTCCCAATCAAAATAAACTCCACAATCTGTCGAGCCAAGCCATATGGTAGCTAGTAGTACAGTTGACGTACTGCTACGCAAATACAATTAAATAAAGTTGTTCAGTCATTATTAACTATAATTTTTGACGTAATGATAAGCGCTTAATCTAACAATTGGTATTAGGTTGTATCTCATGCCCCTGTGCTATTAGCACAATTAACACTATGTGTAATGCTATACAATTCTGCAAAAATCAATCTTATTAATCATCATATTAGATTGATTTTTAAAAAAAAATTAACATACAAAAAACTGCCATTATAATGAAAATATAGTGATAATTATAGGGCCGGGGTAGCATTTTTTTGTAACATTATACTGTGATCCAAGCGGTGGTAATTTTGTTCAACAACTAACATTATATTCTTCAATTATAGCAATCATTTCCAATTTCCAAGAACTATAATTTCAACAAAATTTCTAAATAACAACATATATAATCAAAATTAAGGATATCCAAGAAAAGTAACGATCCGCCACGTACAGGTGACTGTTACGTTGTCAAAGGAAGTTACGTTGCTGGTATAGGTTATGGCAATGGAGGGGATAGATGCACGACAACGACGTCGTCGTGGGCGGGGTCATGAGTGGTAACCGAAGACATAGCCGCCATGTTAGTTGCTAGTGGAAGGGCTCGATCGATCGCCTCTGATCTACGGCGGCTAATGGATCGGAGGAGCCCATTATATTGATGCCGCCGGCGAAAGAGACAGCGCCGGCATAGACGTACGAATGGCAAACATCCTTAGGATATTGTATATATATATTCGAATTGAAATTAAATGATAACGATTTATATATCTTATCTAACATGTTTAGACTATACAAGATGCAATTAAGTGGTTATACGAAAGAGTAATATATAATTGAAAACAAAGAAATTATTATGGTTTGAAAGCCAAGGGAGCTGATGAGAGAGATGAGAAGAGAAATGGATAATAGTGATGAGAAAAAGCATAAAGTAGTTATCATTAAAAACCATGCAAAGTGTAACGGTAAACAGACACAGAATAAGAGACGACAGACAACTAACTTTAAATAACGCGGTTTGGTTTTGTGCTTTGTCGTCGTCTGCGTCAAATGAGGGCGGTAAATAACAACTAACGTATTCGTGCATGGAAATGATACGATGGTAATAATTAAAGTAAGGGTGGTAAATAATAGATGAGAATGAATGTGGGGTAGAGATTGGGAATCTAAAAAGGGAGGAAATGATATTGATATATATGGCTTTTACAAGAACCAATGCAACACGGCGAGGTAAGCAGTAAGGTGGTTCGAAGAACGAACAAAAGCTAATATAGGCATGCAGCAACTGTGCATTTACTAAAGTTATATCAATAAAGGAGACTCCCTCCCTATATATGTTTTGCCTTTAATTTGCGCCAGACATGAAATCTAGCTAGCTTTAAATTAAATTGTATGCCCAGGAATTCCACCACCTCATCAGCTTAGGATTCTGCCACATCCAATTAAATCCACCTCAGTAAGCAACATATATATATGTATGTATGTGTACATGTTCTCTCTCTTTCTCCAAAATATATATATTATTTCTTTCCGCTGAAACTTTAACTGGTGTTTGACAAATAGCTATTAGTAGGTATTACTAGTTGAAAATATTAGCGGGTTGTAGAACGATAATGACCCTGTTTTGTAAAATAGTTAGCTTATCAGTCAATTTTGACTTATTTGATCACTATTAACTGTTTGACTTGGTTAAAAAATCTATATAAGTGTTGTGTTAATTAGCTTTTTGTAACTTTTTCAATTAGCTTTTTGAGAAAAAAAATTATACCAAACAGCTATCAGTTAACCGCTAATTTACCAAACACCTTTCTAGCTAATGTTATCAACTAGTTATATCCTCTAATTAACCCAATCAGCTAACATCTATGATCTATCAGTTAACAGTCATTTACCAAACAGGGTCAATGTGGGTCAATGTTTGGTAAATTAACTATTAGCTGATAGATGATTACATGCAAAATAACCTTTAAGAGTATAATTTACTTTCTCAATAAATTGATCGGAAAAAACTGTTTTAAGCAACTTTTTAGATTTTGATATTTTTGAACAATAAGCTGTTACAACAAGTTGATTAACCAAACACTACTGGAAATTATAGAATTTCCGACCACCTAAAAGTGATCTTAAATCAAGTCGAAAGCTTTGTTCCGGCCACTTTTGGTACCCGGAAAAACCTTTGTGGCTATTTCCGATCACTTTTTGGTATTAAATTGATTTAAAATCACTTTCAGGTGGTCAAAAATTCCATAATTTCCAGTAGTAAAATACTCATATTGATTGTTAATTTAACTAAGTTAAACAACTAATAATCATCAAACAAGTTAAAATTGACTGATAAACTAACTATATTACCAAATACAGTCATACCAATGAAAATTTATCAGTACATAAAAGTGATAAATTTTGAGAAAATCCAAACAATAACTACCCAGAGTACCCGCTCCTCAAACTTGGAAGTAACATGGGACCTCGAGGCATCGTCACTCCTCAACCAATTAAAATTACAAGGGAATATTTTATTTTATTTTTTTTCTCATCACGTTTTCATTACATTTCTATAAAGTGGATGGAGCTAGTATATAATAATAATTGACTACTGACAAGTTATAATGAAGATTATATGCATGCATGATGATGACAAATAACGTAATAAAGAGATGCTATATTGCTATTGAATATACAAACACCAAACTAAATGCAAATTATATATGTAGGTATGCCGCCAACTAATTAAATAATTATCATCAAGAATCAAAATAAAGCTAGATTTGACAGGTTTCCTAATTTTTCTTTAAGACCGGACGACAATTTTAATTTTTTTTTTTTAAAGATTAAAATTAACAACAGTAATATTTGAAATTCAAATAAAAAATAGAAATATAAAGAAAGTAAAGTACATATGTCAACACATATTGAATACTTGTAGCTGAGGATTGAAATTAAAGGAGAAAGTTGAGAATGCGGCAAAGAAAAATATATACCAAAAGGTCTAAGATGAAGACTTCAATTCCTCCCTCTTGATAATTTTGATATTTTAAATCTTGAAAATTAAGTACCCTAGCAAGACCTCATTGTTTCTCCCTAATTGCTTTTAATTCGGATGAGCAGACAAAGATTCTTATTATTAGTACACAACACACGCACATTAAGCACACAAACAAAATACCTTTAGAACACAAATCACGCACGTTAAACACAAACTCACGCATGTTAATCACAAGCCTCAAGCACCTTAAGCACAGAACTCAGACACCTTTTAAGTTTCAACAACTACTAACATTAACACAAACCCACGCACGTTAAGCACAAAACTCACGCATGTTAAGCACAAAACTCATGCACCGTAAGCACAAAACTCACGCACTTAAGCACAAAACTCACTCACTTAAGTTTCAAAAAACTCACATTAAGCACATATCCATGCACATTAAGCACAAACCCCACGCACATTAAGCACAAGACTCATACACTTGAAGTACAAAACTGACGCACGTTAAAACCGCACAACCGCACGGGAAACACTTAAATGCACTAGAACTTAATTATATATATATCGATTCTCGTGCGGGTGAGCACTTCAGGTGCGATTGTGCAGTTTAATCTGAGCCATTCATTTCGCTTTAATCAACGTCCAAGATTACCAAAATTAAAAAAAAAAAAAACGTGGTGGCAATTTTGTAATTTTTGCATCTA